ACACAGTTGTTTTCGGGGCTCAAGCGCACACTGAAGTGGCTCATGTTCAGTTTCTCATCAGCCAGTACCCCCAAGTCCTTCTTTGTAGGGCTGCTTTGAATCTCTTCTCCGCCCAACCTGTAGCGGTGCCTGGGATTGCCCCGACCCAGGTGTAGGACCTTGCACTTGGCTTGGTTAAACTTCATAAGGTTGGCATCGGCCACCTATCAAGCGTGTCCAAGTGCCTCCGGATCCCATCCCTTCCCTCCAGCGTATCAACCGGGCCACACAGCTTGGTGTCTTGCTGAGTTGGGGAAGGGGCAGCTTTATACCTGACCACGGCACCAGGTGGTGCAAGCCTCGAGCACCACATACAGGTCTGGAGGCCCTGTTACATACACGCGGGGCCTTGATATACTGCATAGGTACAGCAAACAGCCTCCAAAACTGAAAAAAAAACCCCTTGGAATAAAAGACTGAGAGAGATTGGTCAGTAATTTTCGCTACAATAAAGACAGAGAGCTGACCTGGGGCACAACGACCTCCCGGGGAAGAAAATATGAAACGTCAGCTGCAAACAAGTGGGTAAGGGGCTGTGCAGCTTGGCAGGAAAAGTCTTAACAAACAGGGTAGGCTGGACCTCAAACCAGTTCAACCTGAGAAAAAGACACGCACTTCTAATGCTATGGATAACTAACTGGGATCAAGGGAAGCGTTCAAACACCATGCAGATGAGGCCCTCAGTGATACGGTTTAGTGGTGGTCTTGGCAGTGCTGGGGTAATGGTTGAATTTGATGGTCTTTTCCAAACTAGTTGGTTCTATGAAGTGATGGCTTCTCGGTTGTTTTGTTCATTTTCTTTTACGAGTCCCTGAATACTTTTTGGGAAATGCTCCTAATAAATGCTGGTGACTGAACCTGATGAAGGGAAGTGATGGCAGCTAAGGAAACACACGGGTTAGCCTCAAAGGTCTAATGGTTCCCTTTTAGCCTTAAGCCCTGACTCTGTGGACAGTTCGGCTGAGGGACTCTGCTCTGGGAATGAAGGGTAACACAGTCCAGTCTCCCACATCACCTGGAATGTCCAAGAACTGGTGCTACTGCAGCCTACAGTTCTGGGAAAAGAACAGTAAAGAACAATGTCCAACTGTAACTGTTGTGACCTGGGTATGAGGAGCAGAAGACACCAAACCAAAATGGAGTTTGGATTCTGCTCCCCACTTATTGTGTGGAGACTGGCACTTCTCCCAGCACCATGCAAAGATTCTAGAGAAGTGACACCTCTAGAATCAGATACTCTCTTCCCCTGGATCTCTCCCACTAGCCTTGACCCTCTGCTTCACTGAAAGTGATCCTTGTGGACACATCAACACACTTTCTGCTATGAGCCGCCACTCTCACGGCAATGTTGGGTAAGAAGGCAGAATTGTGAGAAGGAGCCCTGCCGCTGTGAGGAGGCAGGTGACTTTCAGCTGACAGGGAGAGGTAACACCACGAGCCAGACACAGGGGCAATGGCTGTAGCTGCTCCAGCTCAGCAAACTAAGCCAGCATCCTCTGGCCCTGTCAGTGGTCATGCTCCAACCAGCTCCCAGGGGACGTGGAAGCCAAAAGCTTGGGTCTGTCTCACAGAATCACAGAATGGTTTGGGTTTGAAAGGGTAAGATCACCCAGTTCTGACCTCCTGCCATGGGCAGGGACACCTCACCCTAGACCATGTCGCCCAACCTGGCCTTGAACACTGCCAGGGCTGGAGCATTTACCACTTCTCTGGGCAACCTGTGCCACTGCCTCACCACCCTCACTGTAAAGAACTTCTTCCTTGTATCTAACCTGAACTTCCCCCATTTCAGTTTGAACCCATCACCCCTTGTCCTATCTCTACAGTCCCTGATGAAGAGTCCATCCCCAGCATCCTTGTAGCCCCCTTCAGATACTGGAAGCTGGTCTGAGGTCTCCACACAGCTTCTCTTCTCCAGGCTGAACAGCCCCGATGTTCTCAGCCTGTCTTCATATGGGAGGTGCTCCAGTCCCCTTATCATCCTTGTGGTCTCCTCTGGACTTGCTCCAACAGCTCCATGTATGCTCCTGACAGCTAGGAATACGACCCATTGCTATAGCAACAGGAGTTCACGTGACTACTGTCTTTAAAAAGAGACCCTATTTGTGGCATCCTCTGTAGGGA